GTCAAAAAATGTACAGTTAATATTAAGCTATTTATTTGCTGGAAACCACCAACTTAGAAACACACCACGTCTTTATAAACTATATATGCACATGGATGCATAATATAATCCTGTTCATCCCTATTATTATCCTGAACTGTTACAACAGAGACATATACGCCTTGTGTGTCGCGTACCCAGAGCCTTTGGGTGAAAGATTATACACAGAGACCAAGGTGTTTCTTGAGAATCATGTTCGGCAGTTGTACAAGGTAAGCACTCACAGACGGTCTCCAGTGTCCGCAGAGAAAAACACTCGAACATTTTTCCTGTTTGTGTGTATTACAGAAAGTCCTAGAATCGGAGGAGCAGGTTTTAGTGATGTACCACAGATACTGGGACGAGTACAGCAAAGGAGCTGATTACATGGACTGCTTGTACAGGTAACTGTTTCCCCCACTTTATATGCTGATGATTAAATATGGTCTTTCTTCTACTCCACCTTTTTTTTTTTTTTTTTTTTGCAAACGGCAGGTTGAGAACTGTGCAAAATACAGCAGATCTAAACATTGACAGTTGAATGATATCTCAGTTGGTAACCTGACAATATGATACATATTGTATCAGTATGACACAGTTTCCTTAAATGCACAGTTATATGCAAGTTTTCTTTTTGTGTTGTCTGCAAAGAAAATATTAAGGCTACCCGGTGCAGAATATAGATATATATTTGTTGTCTACTGGCTACTGGTTGTTGAACTTTTAACATACGATACCTATATACATATATATATATATGGTGATGCCCAGTTGTCTTTGGAAGGGCTAACTTAGTTTTTGAAGCTGTCTTTGAGGCCATAAATGCGTAGTGTGATAATTCTGTCACAAGCTACAATATTCCATCTTCCAGTTTTTGCAACTTCTGGAAAGTATTGTGTGAAGTGTCTGCAGACATTTGATGTGTCCTGATTTATTCTAAATCAATACACCCTTGGAGAGCTTTCAGATCTATTTTTATGTGTACTTCCACCAGACTACCCGTGTATTCTTACTTTGTAATTTATTATTTTCAGCGTGAGCAAAAAAGAAAAAGCAAGGCTCTTG